AACTATTCTGTTCTCACTATTATTTTTTTAAATGTTACTCTGGAAGTTCTGAACAGGTTTATAAGAATGAAATAAAAAGAAGTATAATTACTGGAAAGGATGATAATTTTGCCAAGACAATTGAAATCTCCTAGAAATATTAAGGCAGTATGCTAAATGGCTAGAGACACCAGCAAAAAAGTCACATACCATATATATTTTTTTTCCTTTTTGTCTTTTTTACTGACCGGTAACGGGATCGCAACCCTCGGTGTTGCACCCGCACCGCACTCAGCCAGTGAGCGGGAACTGGTCTCCATATGGTATCCGAACCCTCAGCGGGAGCGCCACCGTGCTCCCAAGTAGCGCACTTTCCAGTGCGCCACCGGGCCGGCCCCACATACCATATTTTAATAACCTTAACAAAAATGTTCAGCATCTACAAAGAAAAAATATCAAAATTCCACCTGAAGGTATATGAGTATTAGACTTCAAAAAATTGAGTCTTAACATATTTTTGGTGAGGAATATAAATACTCTATATGTATAACTATTTTACATTAATGGCTTAATTGCAATTTAAATTGAATGCCATGTAAATATTGCTGTTAGCACTTTACAACTATCACTACCTCTTCTAATATGAATCAACATTTACATTTTTCCATCATAATGTGACTTAGTTTTCTTAGTCTTTATCATCCTGTAGAATTTTGGCTAATATTTTAAGATAATTTATTTGGTACCAAAATTTAGTATATCCATAATGGTCACAAAGCACATTATCAAATTATACAGCCATCCTAAAATACTCAATGAATAAGTGAATCAAAGCTAATTTTTCTAGTTTGCCTCACTTTTCTGAAATTATTTTCTTATTTTGCAGATTAGTGTTGCGAGCTACCGATGCTACATAATTTAATTACCAATTGCAAAGCCATTTTCATAGTCATAATTGTATTCTAGGCAATATTTCTTGGTCAAGTCCTCCAGTCTGCAGTCAATGTCATCAGCATCATTACAAAATGATGGGACCTGAAAATAAAAAATGAAGAGGATAGAATTAAATCTCATGTCTTTGTACTTTGGATCAGCCCTTGCTCCCCTGGCCTTAGGGCCCCAGAGCTCTGCATGTTCCTCAAAAGGTTCCTGTCCCTCCTCTCCCTCCTGCCTGACAGCCTTTAACTGGTGTGGATGACCAGGGTTAGTCACATGCCTTATTTTCTCTGTTTACGTCACTCACCACCAGGAGTCCAGGACTCTGGAATATCACTGAACTGTCACCCCATATGGTTCTTTAGATCCCTTTCTCTGACTCTATATCTCCTGCTCCTCTCCCAGTATCCCAAGCCTTCCTCTGTGGCCCCCCTGAAGCTCATAGTCAGTAATCAGCAAATCTCCTACGGTTTTCTATCTCCTATCTTTATGCTTTCTATCTCCTCTCTTTTACCTTTGCTATAAATGCAACCCGACTTTCCAGTTTTNTTAGTCACATGCCTTATTTTCTCTGTTTACGTCACTCACCACCAGGAGTCCAGGACTCTGGGGATATCACTGAACTGTCACCCCATATGGTTCTTTAGATCCCTTTCTCTGACTCTATATCTCCCGCTCCTCTCCCAGTATCCCAAGCCTTCCTCTGTGGCCCCCGAAGCTCATAGTCAGTAATCAGCAAATCTCCTACGGTTTTCTATCTCCTATCTTTATGCTTTCTATCTCCTCTCTTTTACCTTTGCTATAAATGCAACCCGACTTTCCAGTTTTCTGGAATATTTTCCAGAAAATATTCTGGAAATATCAGAAATTCCATTCATTCCGGCCAGCTGCCAATGAAAAAAGAAAAGAAAAGAAATTCCAGGATCTTGGAATTCTGGGTAGGCCTGGAGGTGGAGGACTGTCCTCCTCACATCCTGTATCCCACGTGACCTCTTTGACCATCTCCTATCACTCATCCCATCATCCTGTCTTGTCTTGCTTCTCTGACCTCTTTATAGTGGCTCAAACTCCAAGCACATTCCCACCTCAGGGACTTTGTCCTTGCTGCCCCCTCTGCCTGAAACACTCTTCCCCTAGGTGTGTTCATGGCTCACTGCCTTATCCCTTCAGGTTTTTTCTCAGACAGGAACATCATTAGTGAGGCTTCCCTATGTTCTGCTTTACTTTATCCCATAGCATTATGCCATCTGACATGCTACATATTTTCCTTTTAACTTGTTTATTGTTTGATCATTAGGATGTAAGTTCCATGAGCACATGGAGTTTTGACTGTTTTGTTCACGTCCAAATCCCTAGTATCTAGGATAGGACATAGATACTTGTTAAATGTTTATGAAATGAATGAATAAACATTTAACAGCTCATCTAGATCCATTATACCATCTTTAACCTGCTACAATTTAGCGTGTAATAGACACTGAGTAACACACATACAAACAAGTCACTTTCACACAATTTTCAATGTGGGTTCTGTTAAGAAAATTTCATCACTTTGGGGTGGGGTGTAATTAGTATGAGTGTATTGTTGCCTTTTCAAGTATAGATCTATAGTAACAATGGCCTAATAAGTGCAATGTTTTCTTGATTTGCTAGCAATAATAACCATATTTTTTCTCTGTTTTGGAATTTGGTTTTATTGAGTAGATTTAAATAAAACTATTTTCAACAGGTGCTTACTGAATAGATATCAGTTAATATATTTAACATATTTAGAACAGTGCTTGGCATATAGCAAGCAGCACTGTAAAATGTGAGCAAATATTAA